AGGCCAAGGTGGGTGGATCACAAGGTCAGGAGATCAAGATCATCTTTGCTAACACGGTGAAACCCCGTCTCCACTACAAAAAATTAGCCGGGCGAGGTGGCGGGCACCTGTCGTCCCAGCTACTCCAGAGGCTGAGGTAAGAGAATGGTGTGAACCTGGGAGGTAGAGCTTGCAGTGAGCTGAGTTTGCACCACTGCACTCCAGCCTGGGTGACAGAGCGAGACTCTGTCTCAAAAAAAAAGAAGAAAGAAAAAAAAGAAAGAAAGAAAAAGAAAAAGAAGTGCACTTTATTTTATGTATGTATGTATGTATATATGTATGTATGTATGTATTTTGAGACGGAGTTTTGCTCTTCTTGCCCAGACTGGAGTGCAATGGCACGATCTCAGTTCACCGAAACCTCCACCTCCCAGGTTCGAGTCATTCTCCTGCCTCAACCTCCCTAGTAGCTGGGATTACAAGCATGCACCACCACACCCGGCTAATTTTGTATTTTTAATAGAGACAGGGTTTCTCCATGTTGGTCAGGCTGGTCTCGAACTCCTGACTTCAGGTGATCTGCCCGCCTCGGCTTCCCAAAGTGCTGGGATTACAGGTGTGAGCCACTGTGTCTGGCCAGAAGTGTACTTTATTTTAATTTTATTATTATTATATTATTTTAGGTGGAGTCTTGCTCTGTTGCCCAGACTGGAGTGCAGTGGTGTGATCTCAGCTCACTGCAACCTCTGCCTCCTGGGTTCCAGTGATTCTTCTGTGTCAACCTCCCAAGTAGCTGGGACTACAGGTGTGTGCCACCGCACCTGGCTAATTTTTGTATTTTTGTGTATGTGTGTGTGTGTATATATATATATATATTTTTTTTTTAGTAGAGATAAGGTTTCGTCATGTTGGCCAGGCTGGTCTCAAACTCCTGACCTCAAGTGATCCGCTTGCCTCAGCCTCTCAAAGTGCTGGGATTACAGGTGTGAGCCTCCGCATCTAGCCTATTGTATTTTATTTCTGCTGCTGGCCCAGATGAAAGAAATGCACTTTGAAAGGAAAGTTGGTATTGCTATACTAAATAGAAACAGTATCACTTCCAGAAATAAGAGGTACCTATGCCTGGTAGCCAAGTTAGCCACCAAACATATCCACACCCTAATCCCCAAAGCTTGTGAATGTATCACCTTACTGGGCGAAAGGGACTTTGCCGATGTGATCAAGAGTATGAATTTTGAGAAAAGGAGATTATCCTGGAGTACGTGGGTGAGCGCAATCTAATCACATGAGTCCTTAAAATTGGAGAACCTCACCAGGCGCAGTGGCTCACACCTGTAATCCCAGCACTTTGGGAGACCGAGGCGGGTGGATCACCTGAGGTCAGGAGTTCGAGACCAGCCTGGCTAACAAGGCAAAATCCCATCTCTACTACAAATACAAAAATCAGCTGGGCGTGGTGGAGCACGCCTGTAATCCCAGCTACTGAGGAGGCTGAGGAAGGAGAATCGCTTGAGCCTGGGAGATAGAGGTTGCAATGAGCTGAGACCACACCACTGCACTCCAGCCTGCGTGACAGGAATGAGACTCCATCTCAAAAAAAAAAAAAAAAATTGGAGAACCTCTTCTGGCTGGATTAGAGAGATGTGACAACGGAAGAAGGCCAGAGAGATATGAAGTGAGGATTCAACCCTCCCTTGCTGGCTTTGGAGGGGGAGGACGGGGTCCTGAGCCAAGGTATGCCAGTAGCCTCTAGAAGCTGGGAAAGGCAAGGAAAGTGATCCTTCCATGGAAACTCCATGAAGAAACCTTCCTGCCAACACCTTGATTTTAACCCACTGAGACCCACGTTGAACTTCTGACCTACAGAGAAAAAATTTGTGTTGTTTTAAACTACTAAATTCTGATAATTTATTTAGTATCAATAAAAAACTAATACACTGTGCAAATAACAAAGAAAAATTTTAAAAATTAAATTTTAGCTAAATGTTGTTGCCTGTGTTATATGACTTAAAAAGTAACTGGGTAATTTATATCTTACTACAATGCCTTGCTTTCTTCAGGGTCTCACTGTTGCCCAGGCTGGAGTACAGTGACACAATCATGGCTCATTGCAGCCTCGACCTCCCAGCCTCAGCAAACCCTCCCCCCCAGCCTCCTGATTTGCTGGGACTACAGGCTCATGCCACCTTACCGGGTTAATTTTTTTAAAAAACCTTTTGTAGAAATGGAGGGTCTCACTATGTTGCCCAGGTGGGTCTCGAACTCTTGGCTTCAAGTGATCCTCCTGTCTCAGCCTCTCAAAGTGCTGAGATTATAGGTGTGAACCATCGTGCCTGGCCCACAGTTTTTTTGTTTTGTTTTTTTCGTTGTTGTTTTTTTTTCTTTGAGACGGAGTTTTGCTTTTGTCACTCAGGCTGGAGTGCAATGGCACGATCTCAGCTCACTCCAACCTGCAACCTCCGCCTCCCGGGTTCAAGTGATTCTCCTGACTCAGCTTCCCGAGTAGCTGGGATTACAGGTGCCTGCCACCACGCCCAGCTAAATTTTGTATGTTTAGTAGAGATGGGGTTTCACCATGTTGGCCAGGCTGGTCTCCAACTCCTGATCTCAGGAAATATGCCTGCCTTGACCTCCCAAAGTGCTGGAATTATAGGTGTAAGCTGCTGCGCCTGGCCCCACAGTTTTTTTAAAGAAGTAACTGGACACGCGTGATAGCAGACACCTCTGATACCATGGGACAAGAAGGGTACTTCATGTCTGTGGTCTCCGACCCCAAAACTCCTAACCCCAGTCTAAATATGAGAAAAACGTTGGACAAATCCAAACTGAGGAACATTCCGTAAAATCCACGTACAATCCCCAAACTCTCAAGATCATGAAAAACAAAGGGAGACAAAAACTGTCCCAGGCCAGAGGGGACTAAAGAGACATGAAAACTTGCTACAATGGAGGTATCCTGGATTGCATCTTGAAAAGGACGTTGCAGAAATACTGGTGAAATCTGAATAAAGCCTGGAGTTTAGACGCTAATAATGTACTGATGTTGCTTTCTTAGTTTCGACAAACATTCCATGGTCATGTAACATGTTGGCAATAGGGGAAATTGGATGTGGTGTGTACAGCTCTGTACAACCTTTGCAGCTTTTCAATACATTGGAAATTATGCTAAAATTTAAAAATTATTATTGGTCAGGCACCGTAGTTCATGCCTGTAATCCCAGCACTTTGGGAGGCCAAGGCAGGTGGATCACTTGAGCCCAGGAGTTCTAGATCAGCCTGGGCAACATGATGAAACTCTATTAAACATACAAAAATTAGCCAGGCTTGGTGGTGCATACCACAATGCACAGTGCACAACCATAGCTCACTGGAGCCTCAAACTCCTGAGCTCAAGTCATCCTCCCGCCTCAACCTCCCAAGTAGCTAGGAATACAGGTGCACACAACTATGCCCAGCTAATTTTAAAAGTTTTTGTAGAGATAGGGTCTCGCTATGTTGCCCAGGCTTAAAAATTATTATTATTGTTATTATTATTTATTTTTTTGAGATGGAGTCACACTCTGTCACCCAGGCTGGAGTGCAGTGGCGCAATCGCAGCTCACTGCAACCTCTGCCTCCCGGGTTCAAGCGATTCTCCTGCCTCAGCCTCCTCAGTAGCTGGGATTACAGGCACACGCCACTACTCCTAATTTTTGCTTATTTTTGGTAGAGACGGGGTTTCACCATGTTAGTCAGACTGGTCTCGAACTCCTGACCTTGTGATCAGTCTGCCTTGGCCTCCCAAAGTGCTGGGATTACAGGCATGAGCCACCACACCCAGTCGAAAATTATGTTTTAAACTGCACATGGTGGCTCATGCCTGCAATCCCAGCACATTGGGAGGCCGAGGCAGGAGGATCACTTGAAGTCAGAAGTTCCTTGCCAGCCTGGGCAACATGGCAAGACCCAGTCTCTACAAAGACTGAGTGGTTCGGCCCTGGTGCAGTCACATAGCTCCCTGCTAACTGAGCTGAAATTAAAACCCACTCAGCGCCAGGCACAGTGGCTCATGCCTATAATCCCAACATTTGGGAGGCCAGGCCAGGTGGATTACCTGAGGTCAGGAGTTCGAGACTAGCCTGACCAACATGGAGAAGCCCCATCTCTACTAAAAATACAAAATTAGCCGGGCGTGGTGGCATATGCCTGTAATCCCAGCTAATCGGGAGGCTGAGGCAGAAGAATCACTTGAGATGGAGGTTGCGGTGAGCCAAGATCGCACAATTGCACTCCAGCCTGGGCAACAAGAGCGAAACTCCATCTCAAAAATAAATAAATAAAACCCATTCAGTCTGGCTCCTACATGGCTCATGGGGCCTGTGGACTGGACTCTCCCTTTCCCTCCACACCCCATCTGCATTCAGTCCTCGAGCAAATCATGCAGATGGCACCTTCACAATGATGCTGAGGTGACACTTCTCACCACCTGCCTTCTCCTACCTAGTTTGAGCACCTTCATCACTTACCCGGACTAGCCAGCTGGTCCCCCTCTCCTTCCCGACGGTGTGATGTGGCCTGTTAACGCCCGAGCCACAGCTGAGCCCTCCTCTGCCCAGGACCCTCTGCTGGCTCCCCAGCTGCTCTGAGTAACAGCTAGAGCTTTGCAACAGCCACAGGTCTTTGAAGCTGGGACTTCTCTCCCTGAGTTGCCTGCCACTCTCTCCTGGTCACACCAGGCTGGATGCAAACTTCTCCTCTGGGTCTCAAGCATACGGATCATGCTCCTGCCTCAGGGCCTTTGCATGAGCCATTCCCGCTGCCTAGAATGCTCTCTGGTCAGATAGCTGCTTGGCTGACCAATCACCTCCTACAAACCTTGTTCAGACCTTGCCTTGAACTCTTGGCTTCAAGTGATCCTCCTGTCTCGACCTCTCAAAGTGCTGAGATGATAGGCATGAGCCACTGTGCCTGGCCCACAATTTTTTTTTTTTTTCTTTGAGACGGAGTTTTGCTCTTGTCGCTCTTGTCACTTGGCTATGCATCTAGAGGGCGTCCAGCACAGAGTATGTGCTCAATACACAGATGAAGAAGGACAATCCACAAGACAGCTGTCCCTCTCCCAGGACCCTGGGAAATGCTGGGGATGGGGAACATGTTCAGATGTCAAGAGGAAGAGGGTCTAGTGTCTGGGCTGTCATTTGAGTGCTCTTCCTGTTCACAGGAGTGGATGGGCTGCACAGATAGAGCAAAACCGAGATGAGTTTTAAGGGCCACTGAGCATCTTCCCCACTGGCAGCCTTTCCCAACGTCCAGGGAGATACACAGCTGTCTCCTGTGTGGTCCTAGATCCCTGGAGGAGGGGCCAGGCTTGGAGGTGGAAGGAGAGCTCAGTGGGGAGGGGGCAGAGAAGGGACTGCCCAGATGTGACACATCTGGAGTCTCCAAATCTGCACCAGGACAGATGAGTAGAGCTGCATTTTTCCCACCCTGCTCATATCGGCCTTTTGTGAACTTTGTTTCTGCCCCGTGTGCATTGCCCTTAGGTATTCATTGCTACCTGTTATCACTGGAAGAAAAATGGCCATGGGCATTCTGCTCTTCCTTCACCTCTCTCTTCTCCATCCCTTCCTTCTTCCTTCTTCCTTCTTCATCTGTGTATTGAGCACATACTCTGTGCTGGATGCCCTCTAGATGCATGACCAGGGTTGTCCTCATTGACAAGGCAAGATCTGAGCGAGGTTTGTAGGAGGTGATGGGTCAGCCAAGCAGATACCTGGGCAGATAGCTTTCTGGGCAGTGGGAATGGCTCGTGCAAAGGCCCTGAGGCAGAAGCGTGATTGGTATGCTTCAGGCACAGAGGGGAGGTCTGCATCTGACCTGGTGTGAGCAGGGGAGAATGACAGGCAGCTCAGGGAGAAAAGTCCCAGGTTCAATGACCTGAGGGCATTGCAAAGCTTTAGCTCTTGCTCAGAGGAGCTGGGGAGGCATTGAGCAGTGCAAGAGCCAAACTGAATGGGTTCCAATTTCAGCTCCACTAGCAGGGAGCTACGTGACTGCACCAGGGCTGGGCCAACCCACCTGTGCATGAGTGACAGCACCCCACGGGTTCCAGAGCTCGCATGTCCATGATCCGGCTTAGTGCCTGGCACGCCAAGAATACTTGGGAAATGGTAGCTAAGACCTGCTGCCTCAGGAGGGTCTCTTCTCATTTCCAAAGCTGTCTTCTGTTGGGTGAAATGCATACAGACACTGGAGATATATCCAGAGACTGACCGAGTTCCCTGCCCTTGTGCTGCACTCCCCTCGAGGAGACAGATGATGGGGTCATGTAAGGAGCTAAGATATCCTGAGCTGGGAAGGAGGAAAGCAGGGGCTGAGGGATGGAGGCAGCTGGTGGGGGCAGGTGGGGGTGACCGGGATGCCTGGAACCCAGGACTAGGGCCGGACTCTGCACTGCTTTGCTTGGGGACCTACCTGGGCTCTAAGTCACTAGGGCAGACAGTGGCCAGGGTGAGGCTGGCACAGTGCAACTCCTTCCCCACTGCTGAAGATGCCACCTTTGTGGGGTGGGAGCACAGGCTTTGGGGAGTTGAGAGCCATCCTCATCCTAGAGGTGGTTATTTCTGGAAGCAAAAATCCAGGGTTTATGTTCTTGGGACAGGGGAACCCTGGGGCCTCACGTCCTCCCCATAACCTTGGCATTGGGCAGTGAAGGCGTCTTCCTGTTGAGTCTGAGGGAGAGAGAAGTGGTGTCACTCGGGGTGTCAGCTTTCATCTCACTTAGTCCTCACAGTCGCCCTGCGAGGTAAGGACCATGATTAGCCCAATTTACAGATGAGGACACTGAGGCTCAGAGAAGTTACATGGTTTGTCCAAAGTGACACACTAAGTGGCTGAATGGGATTGAACCCAGTTCTCTTTTTTTTTTTTTTTTTTTTTTGAGACAGAGTCTCGCTCTATTGGCAGGCTAGAGTGCAGTGGCGTGATCTCGGCTCACTGCAACATCCGCCTCCCGAATTCAAGCAATTCTCCTGCCTTAGGCTCCCGAGTAGCTGGGACTACAGGTGTGCGCCACCACGCCTGGCTAATTTTTGTATTTTTAGTAGAGATGGGGTTTCACCATGTTGGCCAGGATGGTCTCGATCTCTTGACCTGGTGATCTGCCCATCTCGGCCTCCCAAAGTGCTGAGATTACAGGCGTAAGCCACCACGCCCAGCCTGAACCCAAGTCTTTCTGAAACAGCCCAAGCTGTTGATGGAACCCTCTGGCTAACGGATGAGCAGGTAAAGTGAAACAAACACTTTAGAATGCTTTGGGGGTGGGGGTATAGGGAATTGAGCCTTGTATGGGGTGTCATCAGAAGTCAGAACACTGGTTGCGGGCCCAGGGGCGCTGGAGTGACTGGCCATGGTTGGCTTTGTGATCTGGGGGCTGGTGTGTTCCATCTATGAATGTCTTTTGAGCTGCACACTTACCAGGAGATAAGTCATGTCTTAATAAATTTTCTTTCTTTCTTTTTTTTTTTTTTGAGACGGAGTTTCGCTCTGTCTCCCAGGCTGGAGTACAGTGGCACGATCTCGGCTCACTACAAGCTCCGCCTCCCGGGTTCACGCCATTCTCCTGCCTCAGCCTCCTGAGTAGCTGGGACCACAGGCGCCCGTCACCACGCATGGCTAATTTGTTTGTATTTTTAGTAGAGACGGGTTTTCACCGTGTTAGCCAGGATGGTCTCGATCTCCTGACTTGGTGATCCACCCGCCTCGGCCTCCCAAAGTGCTGGGATTACAGGCATGAGCCACCGCGCCCGGCCTTAATACATTTTCTTAAGTTTAACACCAAATAAAACGAGGATGAGAAGCTCGTTTGAGTTGTGGGGATTTGGGTGCTTATCCAGCCATGAGCCCTGGCCTAGATGCCTCTAGAAGCCTGGAGGGAACCGAGAACATTCCAAGTAGAGGTGGCAGAGCCAAGGCCCTGAGGTGGGAACACACTGCTGCACGTCTCTCGCTGTAAATGAGGTGCCCTGGTCGGAAGCAGTGCTGTGTGCCCTGCAGGGCCGGCAAGTCCGTGTCCACATTGTGACTCAGTGCAGTGAAAGCCAATCTCAGCCCCCTCCGCAGTGTGATCAGCCTGCCAGCAGGGGGCCAGCCGGTCCTCCTGGGAAACTGTGCCACCCACGGACTGGGTGCGAGTCTCTTGTCCACAGATAGGGCACTCAGCAGTGGTGTCAGCCTGATGAGCCTTGGTAAGGGCACGTGCAGGATGCTGAGCCTCTCCCGTCCCCATGACCGTCTGAAGGCCGCTTGCTCAGTGGACATATCCAGCAGGCGTGGGGGACGGGAAAGAAGCAGGCTCCATCCACAGGGTGTGCCGTTTTGCTCAACTCAGGACCCAGAACATCCTCCATAGTAATTCTCTTCGGTGGGTGCACTGGGAACATGAGCCACAGATACCTTCCGAGTCTGAGCTGCTGAGGCGAGGGCTGCAGGGCGCCGGGCTGTCAGGAAAGCCTGCACTGGCTGCTGGAAGGCACGTGGTGGGGGCGCCTGCTGCGGCTGCGGCAGTGACTGTGAGGCTTCGGGATGTCGTCCGGCTTCTGCGAGGTGAATTGTGACAGTGCAGAGCTCCGCAGTGCCAGGGTCCCCTGCAAGGTCATGCTGACTGCAGCTGGGAGCCCACCACACCCCTGGTGCCCCTCTCTTCCCAGGGCTGGGGTCTAGGCCAGACCCCTCTTGACTTGGGAATTGTGCCCTGGGAGGGGGACACAGTCCCACAGGTGGGGACAGAGGCCCCAGGCGTGCTGCTGGCTGGCCGGGACTGCGAGGACGTCATGCTCACCTTTCTCTCTCGTGGCCTTGATGGGACCGGCTTCCCCATTGAACAGGATTTTCCGAGGTGTCTGGGGCTGTGGTGCAGCTTGCGGGGTGCCACACTGACTCCTTCCAGACATACCAGTCACTGGCCACCAAGAGGGTCAGATACAGGTGCCATGCTGCAGTGGGGGTATCTCCCAACCTTCCTTTTAGTCCTGATGAGCCTGGGCAGGGCCCGGTGTTGGGGTCGCCATGGGCTTCCTGGGCTAGGCTGTCCCATGTGTCCAGGACACATTTGGAAGGGACTTGGACCCAGCAGCTCTGTTCAAAATCATAATGGGGGCAACAAGGGCCCCCCACATCCAAATTCATAGGAAGCCGTGGCATGGAGTTCCACTGGAGGAACCTCCAGGAAACCCGAGGTCCCCCATGAGCCAGGGCCAGACTGGGCACACTCTGAGTCCCCAGTGCCCCCAGAGAATGGCCTGCTGCCCTGGGTTCCATGGAAGCCTCCTCATGCCACTGGGCCTTGGCCTCGTGGACAGTCCCATCAGGATGGGGTGTGAAAGGACGAGGTGCCCATGGCGGGGAAGCTGACCAAATGGGCCACTGGAACCAGGTTGGTGGCCAGGAGGGGCCTGCCTATCCCCCTGCCAGAGGGTCTTCCTGCCAGCTGAAGCCAGCACAGGCCTGGGTGTCAAGGACCCTTGCTCGGGTTTGGCTGAAAGGAAAACAGACGTGGTCGGCATCTCCAGTGAGCCTATGCAGTCCTCTCTGGGCCGGGCTCCACCTGCCTGGGTCTTTGGAGTCCTCAGGGTCTCTGTGTGGCCCTTGTGGTCTGACACTGAGGACACACCTGCAGGCTGCTGATCCCAGAGGGAGGGGTCTGTGCCTCCTGTGGTGGGACGCTGTCGGGGTACCGCAGGTGGCTTCTGGGACTGCCCTCCCCCAGGGTTCAGTCTGACTGGGGGCTTCCTGCTCCACACCCTCATCTCAAGACTGTTGGGCCTGGGATACAGCCTCCAGTCAGAACTCAGGTGGGAGGGGCCTTGGATGTCACCCAGCCCCCTTGCCACCTCACATGGGGACCTGTCTCCATGGTGGGTGAGAGAGCCCAGATACAGAGTCCCCTCTGCCCTCCTGGGCTGCCCAGTCCATGCCAGGACTGACTGTTTCCACACCTGGCTGAACTCTTGGCTCCGGCTCTGGTCCAGGGGTCCCCCCGTGCCCACCCCCTAAACGCTCTGGGGGGGGTTCGGGACACAGATTCCCTTGTCTCCCTGGCTCAAGGCTTGTTGTCCTGGCACCCTTGGAGGGGTATTCAGGAGTGAGGGCCCTCTGCTGCTCTCTGAGGCTGTCAGTGCTCGCAGGGAGGGGTGGGGGATCCCACAAATGGATCTGGCTCCTCCAGTGCCCTTGAGGGCCCTTTGAGGGGGAGAGTGGGACATGGTGGAAAGTGGGAGGGGGCTTGTTGGAGAGTCTCGCCCACACCCCACTCCTGCTTGTGCAGCACGTCCAGTACACACGCACGGAGCGCCTGCCCTGAGGACCAGGGGGCCTATTGTACTTTCTTAATTAGAGGCCAGGAGGAAGAGGAGGGAGAACAGGTGAAGAGAAAGGCCCAGGTAGCAGTGTTGGGGGTCCCGGGCACTCCCTGATTACTGACTGCCCCAGAGGGTGACTCGGGAGGGGACCTGGTACTGCAGCCCACCTGGGGGTGGCAGGTCCCCACGCTTCCTTGTTAGTTTCCTCATAGAGGTCCGAGGGTGTCTGAGAACTGCATCGTCATCCAGGGCCCAGGTATGGGAGAACTGGTCCTGAAAACATGCCCACGGCCACCGCTGGACATCTTCATGAGGTGCTTTAGGGACAGGGTGGGCATCAGGCCAGGAGAGTTCCCTGGGAGGGGTCAGAGCCCACACCCCATTGCTACCTCAGCCACCTCCCACTGGGGAGTGCCGGATCACTTTGTGGCCACCCCAGGGTTCCAGATGTGCACAGGAGGCTGTGGCTGGGAGGCAGCCTGCCCAGGGAAGTGCTCACCACACTCCTGACTTTCATCTGGGTCATGTGGGAGATGGGCTCCTACAGGAGGGGGTATGTCACTGTTCCCTGCCCAGCCCACCCAGCCAGACCTCCCTCTGGGCCAGGGCAGAGGATCATGGTGACAGTGTGAGGAAGCTGCCACTGGGCCAGTCGGGGTCTGACCCCTGTGCTCCCCAGACCCCACTGGGCACACGTGGACTTACTCCTCCGAACCTTAAAGACAGTGAGTGCCATTGGCATCAACACCTGTTCCACTTCTAACAAATACACGTCCCAAAGGCTCAGGGTGAGCCCGAGAGAGATCTGTGAGGACACCAGGTGTGGGAGGACCTCACCCTTCCAAGCTGGGGCTGGTGGCTCAAGCTGGGCCCACTGAGGCTTCAGTCCCCCAGTCACTGACCCTTCTCATGAGAGTCATCAGACCCCTTCAGGAGGCTGGGTCAGACGAGGTCTTGCAGCTCCTCGTGGGGGAGCACTCATTTCAATGGGGATGTGGCTTCTGGAGAGAGGGGCTTCCCCAGGACTTCCTTGAGCCCTCCCAAGTGGGTCCTGGCCCAGTTTGCCCATGAGGCTGGGCCTGAGCCCCAACCTCTGCCATGGGAGGACCCCTCTTGGGCAGAGGGCTTTGCTTGTGTGTACTGCAGATATCTACCTGTGCCTCCTGTGGGCTGGGGGTGAGCCGGACCCCTGGGCTGGGGGAGCAGGGCCCTGCAGGGCAAGGAGGGTCCCTGAGCCAGAGTTTCCCTGTGCCCTCTTACCCTATCGATCAAGCTCCAAAGAAACCAACCTAATGAGGAACCCTGAACACGTAGCCCTTCCTTGTCCTGATGGGAGGAACAGAGGTGCTCAGGTCCCTCTGGGTTGCCCTAAAAACCTCCCTCTTCCAGGGCCCTCTGAAGATCCTTCCCCAAGTGCAGAACACTGGGCGGTGTCCAGGGCTCCTTACACCTCCCCCTTCCCACACTCCTGGCGGACACACTGTCCTTAGCCCTGCTCTACGGGAACTAGCCCCAGTCCCTGTGCCTCTGTCTCCTCCAGGGCAGGAAAGGAAACCCAACTCCGGATCCATGGAGAACCCCACGTCCCAGGTCAGGCCGTGGCTGGAACTCAGCCTCTCACCAGCCCCACCAGGGTCTCCAGCCCTTGGCTCCTCCAGCCCCACAGGATGCAGAGCCTCTGGGGAAGAGCTGAGGGGACCATAAACTCACTGCGTGCCTCATGGTCTTGCGGTATGACGTGGGTGCCACATGTTCCTGGTGGTCTTGGAGTCCCTGGACCCTTGTGATATTTGGGCTGTGGAATCCCGAGAAGCCCCCAGCCCGTCATGAAATCAGCCGGCTCCCAAGATGTGGAACCATCAACTGGAAGAGCTGGACAGCTGCAGAGGCCCCTGAACCCCGAGGCCTCCCACCCTCCCATCTGGTGAAACCGCTATGTGGCCTTGGCCCTGGGGACGAGGGGTGGGAATATCCCCTGACGCCTGGCTGGAGGTGCTCCTGGAGGCCTCCCGGACCAGGGTGCTGGGAGGGCAAGTCTGACTTTGAGGCCATGACAAAGGGCGGGTGCTGGACTTTGTGATGCTCTCCTGGAAGTGGGTTCAGGCCAGGGGAGACAGGATGGGGAGATGCTGCCATCAGGGTTTTATCAGCCCATCTTTGGGTACCAGGGGCAGCTGGAGCCCGGCCAGCTGGAGGGCAGGACTCTCAGGGAGGGGAGAGTCAGTTGTACAGAATCAGAGCCAGAGGGCGTGGCTCCAGGACACAGAGGGTGGCCACGGGGACGATGAGATGCCCTCTGCTGATGGGGGTGAAAGGCATCTGACTCAGGATCTGGGGGTCCCCGTTCAGCTCCGGGCCCCCGTGGGACCCTCAACAGAGACATCCTAGAGGCTCCAAACAAGCTGGCAACACAAGGAAGGTGCCTTCCCTGAAAGTTGAGATCACCTGCCCAGGGTGGCCGCCCCTGGGTCTGGCTGTGTGAGGTCCTGAGGGCGGCTGTCCACCTACCCTGCGGGGAGTGCCTCTCAGCAGCCAGCAGCTGGGCCAGTGCCCAGAATATGTCCTCCTCAGGCAGATAAAGGAGGAACAAGGCAGTGACGTGGCTCAGGTCCCTGCAGTAGCCCACCTCCTACGAGAGCCAGAGTTATGGTGGAAAGACGTCACCTGAGAGGGCTGAGGTCACCTGGGAGGACTCATGTCATCGGAGAGAGCAGCAGTGACTGGGGAAGCTTCCTCTGAAGAAGAGGCTTCCTCAGGATGCAAATTCATTTTGTGACAAGAGCCATGTCCATCAGGCAGTTCAGCAACGTGTCCAAACTGTCTCCGGAGAGCACTGTTCTGTGTGCTGAGCTTCGGAGCCCAGTGGCTGCCTTTGGTTCCTGGATCCAGGGAGACTTCCGGAGCCTGTGCCTGGGGCTTTCTAGGGCTGGAGGTGGTGGGGCAGGGGAAAGGGCGGGAGAGAGGCCTTGTATGGTAGAGTTCGGGGCAGGAAGCCAGCCAGGGACCCATTTGCAGTGACTGCTCCCATCCCCCACCCCCACCTCCAAACCCACCCCTACCCTACCCTGGTGCAGGGTCGGGCCTGGGCGGGTGTCCTCTGCTTTGGCCTCAGCAGATCACAAGGAGGAAGCCGGCAGCCCGGCGGGTGCACCACTCGAGCCAATGGTGACCTACAGCTTCTGCTTCATGGAGTGTGGGGCACCCACCCAGGAAAGCCCAGGCACGCCCCACACCACTGACCTTGAGGGCATGGGGAGGTGGGAGACCAAGGTTCTGCAGCCCTGTGCATGTGTCCTGAAAGGTGGCCTAGGAGTCCTGTGTGCACCCGTCCAGGGGGGCCCAGAAGCCTGAACATTGGCAGGGAGGGAGACGAGGAGGGAGACAGAAGTGGAGAAGAAGGAGAGAGAAAGAGAGATGGGGAGAAGGGAGTGAGATCGATAGAGAAGAAGAGAGATGGGGAGAGAGACAGAGGAGGCTGAGAGGAAGAGGGAGAGAGACATAAAAGGCAAAAAGAGAGACAGGGAGAGAGAGGTGCATGAGTAGGAGTTCAGGTCACTCTTGATGCCAGTTCCCAGTGCAAACTTCGGTTGCTATCACCTATCCACACATGCAGTAAAGTCTTCTGCCTGCCGCTT